AAACCGTCTTCCAAAAACAAATAGAAAATAATCACCCTATGAGATCTTGAAGAATAAGCCACCTAATCTGTCCTATTTAAGAACGTGGGGCTGTTTGGCCTACGTAAGAATTCCGGATCCTAAGAGGATTAAATTGGCTAGTCGAGCATATGAATGTGTCTTTGTTGGCTATGCGGCCAATAGTAAGGCATATAGATTCTATGATTTGAATGCTCGTACTATAATAGAATCTATTGATGCTGATTTCTTTGAGACACAATTTCCATTTAAAACGAGAAATAGTGGTGGTAATGTACTACCCGCTATTAGAGATAACGGAACTAGTGGGGGTGTTGGTTCCGAGGATGAACTCAGAAGAAGTAAAAGAGCTAGAATCTCTAAAGATTTTGGTGATGACTTTACTATAGTATTCACCCTCGAAGATCCAAAAAGTTTGCAAGAAGCATTAACTTCCGCAGATGCAGATTTTTGGAATGAGGCCGTTATAGATGAAATGGAATCGTTAGAAGCTAATAAGACTTGGCATCTAACAGACTTACCTCCTGGCTGCAAAGTCTTAGGTAATAAATGGGTTCTAAAAACGAAACGGAAACCTGATGGTGCAATCGAAAGGTTTCGAGCTCGCCTAGTAGTTAAGGGCTACAGGCAGAGAGAGAATATAGATTTCTTCGATACCTATTCACCAGTATCAAGAATAACATCCATTCATGTGATGATTGCTCTTGCTGCCTTGAACAATCTCGTGGTACACCAAATGGATGTTAAGACCGCTTTTTTGAACGGAGATCTGGATGAAGAAATCTATATGGAACAACCAGAAGGGTTTGTTATCCCCGAACATGCCTCGAAAGTCTGTAAGTTAGACAAATCATTATATGGTCTGAAACAGGCTCCAAAACAGTGGCATGAGAAGTTTGACACTCTCGTTCTCTCACGTGGTTTTAAGGTGAAAATAACACTTGCACTATCATATGTTTTTATGTAGATGACATGTTGATATTTGGTACAAATATTCACGTGGTCAATTCATCGCAAGAGATGTCCAATTGAAGCAGATACCATTTGTGAAACATGTTTTCGTCTGTTATTTCGGATGCTCATTTCAATTTAAAATTTTAGCTTATTTGGGAGGATAACTATATTAGTATAGTAATTTATCATATTGGTTTGACCCAATACCTGGATTTCATCCTGGAACTCGGACGAGTCAATTGGCTGAGTTTCGAGCTGGTCTATCCTATGAAGCAAAAGCCATGTTAAAAGAGAGCTTTGAGGTGAAAGATCTGGGAGAAGCAAAGTTTATGCTTGGAATCCAGATAACTAGAACAGCAAATGGTTATTCTCTAGATCAATCTAGCTACATAGAGAAGATCTTGAAGAAATATAACTATTTTGACTGTAAACCTGCGTGTACTCCGTATGATGCTAGTGTAATGCTATTTAAGAACACTGGAGACAGTGTAAGACAATCAGAATACGCTAGCATCATTGGCAGTCTCCGTTATGCTGCGGATTACACTCGACCAGACATTGCATATGTCGTGGGATTGCTTGGCAGGTTTAACAGCTGTCCTAGTAGAGAGCATTGGAATACTATAGAGTGGGTCATGAGATACCTCAAGAGAACAGCAAACCTTGGTATACACTATCAAAGGTTTCCTGCTGTACTAGAAGGGTATAGTGATGCGGATTGGAATACCCTATCAGATGACTCCAAGGCAACCAGCGGGTATGTTTTTAACATCGCTGGTGGAGCTGTGTCTTGGAAGTCAAAGAAACAAACAATCCTAGCTCAATCAACTATGGAATCAGAGATGATAGCACTAGCAACGGCTAGTGAAGAAGCAAGTTGGTTGAGAGGATTGTTGTCAGAGATTCCCCTATGGGAAAGACCGGTCCCTCCGGTATTGATCCATTGTGATAGTACCGCAGCTATCGCTAAAGTTGAGAACCGGTTCTATAACGGAAAGAAACGACAGATTCGTCGTAAGCACAGTACTGTAAGAGAACTCCTAACGATAGGAGCAGTGAGGGTGGATCATATAAGATCCGAACAGAATCTAGCAGATCCTTTGACAAAAGGATTACCTAGAGAGAAAGTCCAGAATACCGCCAAGGGTATGGTACTTATGCCTACCGAACCACGAACTACAAGTGATGGTAACCCGACCCAATAGACTGGAGATCCCAAGAAATGGGTTCAATGGGTAATAACAAGTCATGAGTAGTATGCGAAAAGTTCATGCATAGTGAAGCATGAATCCCAAAGCAATGGAGGTTGAGTTAATAACTCTTAATGAGATCTATACCCTATGTGGGGTGGTTTACTTTACTTTGGGGGTACTCCTGATAGACTCACCTATGTGAATGTGGGAGTCGGGCCGCTCCCAATGGAACTTTGGAGGCACAAAGTGGCTAGAGCGTTCACTAAACCAGGATAACGTGCATGGCCATAAACGCACGGGCTAAGAAGTGAACACAACTCAATGAAAAGATCCGGTGTGCTACACTGTCTGAGATAGGGTTCAAGACTACGAGTCACCCTTATAAAATCGGAAGTGTAACCACTACGCTAAGGTTCAAATCTTCGCGATACCTTAGCTTATGCCCGATCTTATGGAACTGTTAATGCTCAGAGATAGTTTCAAAACTATTCAAGTGGGGGATTGTTGGAAATGTATATGAATAGCTTTGAAAGCTATAGAGTCTCAAGTGGAAAAACTACCACATTGGTAGTTTTACTTGGTGAAATGGGTATAAAGATAGGAGCCTCTCACCCAAGGGCATGCCCCTTGGGGTGACCCACTTTTGTGGGAGAGGGAGGACCTAACGGACCACCACACACGCGCGGTCGGTCGGTCGGTTGGTTGGTTCACTTGAGACTACATATATATTTTTTACAGAAATTCCGAACATAATTAATTATTATTCTGAGGAATATTCTAAGGGATAATCAACTGAAAAGGAATATTCGAAGGATAATCCCTCCGGGTTTATCTTAACCGACAGTTTTAATTAAGGAAGTAATTATCTTCCTTAATTAATCCAACTTATTCCCCAAGCAAGAGGGTATATTCCTAGGGGTTCGGCTCCTATAAATAGTCGCCTCCCCAGCCCCTCTAAACACATCACACGAGCAGAAACACAATAGAGAGAGTGTTTATTGAGAGGAGCTGTTTTATCCTGGAGACGACCGGTTGATAGTCTGCCGTGCGCATCGAAGACAGTACCGCGAACGTCTTAAAGAGAGCGACCTAGTCCGCGACTCAGCTCCAGATTCGGTAACCTCGTTCCTTTTGTTGTTCCGTTCCTAACACACTCTGCAGCGCCAGATTGACTACATGAACCGACTGATTCGCAGATGCTCTGAAGTAGTGATCAAATGGTGATATGGGTTTCGATCTTCCATGTTGTTCGCCGCTACGGCCTTCAAGTAAGATTCTGCGAATCCTCTTATACGGAGGTCTCCATTAGAGAGTAAGGCATGGTTGTGCTCATTTTGTCTAACCCAATTATGTCCCTTTTCAGAGAAACCCTCTCGCCGTTGACTCTAATAGACCTCAAATTGATGAAGTCTTGGTGTCCCGCCGGAGAGTTGCTCCTGGTGGAGATTACGAGGGGAGGGTAGAGCAGAGACGTCGAAACTTTTGCCCCAAAGAAGGATTCGCTCAGCATCTCGTCGAACGCCAGGAATCTGTTAGAGGAGACTGACGGCGAATCTCCGATGAAATCTAAACGTCGCGGCAAACTGCACCATCGGGGAGATTCTCGTCCTTCCTAGTCCCATCTAACAGAGCAGAAAGATTGCAACTAAGCTGATGGAAGGAAAGCTGCAGAAGTGATCCAGGAGGAGCTGCTGAAGAACAGAGCAGAAGACAAGCATAAACGTTACGTTTCTGCCTTCACCTCCACCTAGCTTAAAGTGAAGGTTGAAACGGTGACGTAGAGACCAACACTTACCGTTAGGTGGAGACCAAGAGGGCCAACCAGACGAGGACATGTAGCATTCTCATTTTAGTTTTAGTTTAAATTACAGTTTAACAGACATTTCACGTTTTACTGTTTACTGCAACTTTACCATTCTGAATGTTGGTATAAATAGAAGAATCAGAGGCCTGGCACTTTGAGGGTTTCAAAACAATCATTGCTCGCATTCTTCTTCTCCCTTACAACCAGCTACAACCCTAGCAGCTTGGTTTCTCTTATGGTATTAGAGCGGTGATCCGCTTTTCCGCGTCAACCCAACTCGATGAATACTCGACCCAGCAGCTCCGGCAGTGGCGATGGAGAGATCCCCTTTGGCAGTTCAACCGCAATGCTCAAAATCAGGAAATGCAGCAAACCCAGCAAACGCAGAACGATGCCCTAGCTCAGATCTATGCTGGTAATCCTAACAATCAAGTGGGTTATGTGTTTGGAAGTCCTTACTATATCAATCCAAGTGAAAATCTAGGACAATCTATAGTTTCAGAATTGCTAGATGAACACAATTATCAGATGTGGCAGGGGGTTGTCCGAATGGCTCTCAAAACCAAGCATAAGATTGGGTTTATTGATGGTAGCTTGCCTATGCCAGAACGAACTCATCCTGAGTTTCTTTTGTGGGATGCCTCCAACACCATGGTGCTGTGTTGGATTCTAAATTCAATTGAAAAAGACATACGTCGTAGTTTATTGCAACATGAAGTAACACAAACTCTTTGGGATGAACTTAAGCAAAGATTTGGCAGTTGCAATGCACTGAGACTTGCTAATATGAAAGAAGCTATAGATCGTTTTAAACGAGGAAGTCTGAGTGTGACTCAATACTATGTGCATTTGAAAGGGTTATGGGAGGAATATCTCCGGTTCTACCCCATTGTTGATTGTGATTGTGTGATAGCTAGAGTCAGACCTTGTGCAACAGTTGAGGCTTTTAGAAAAGGCAAGAGACTGAATACCTCATCAAGTTTCTTCGAGGACTCAGACCTGAATTCGATGTGGTGCAAACTCAACTGTTGATGATGAAGCCATTGCCTTCTTTGCAAGCAGCCGTAGATGACATCCTGCAACATGAACAAAAGCTTAAATATGATAAACGACATTCGAATCGAAGTGTTCACTCAGTGGCACTTGCAGAACAGGGTGATAAGCAGAAGAGCTCTAGTTCATTTGAACCTAATAAAGGTGGAAAGGATGGCACAGAGGCGGAAATAAATTTCTGCCGATACTGTAAGAAGAATGGTCACTTGAAGGAAGAGTGTTACAGACTCAAGAATAAGAAGGCCAGGATGGCAGGGAGAACAGTTTTGCTGGTTCTGCTTCTCGATCAGACACAGAGAGTAAAGACGCAGGCTCCATGGGAAGTAATCTGAGTCTAGACACCAAGATTAGTCAGGGTAGCCAATGGTTTACCATAGAGGAATTCAGCAAACTTAAATCCCTTTTGCAACAGTCTGACAGCATGAGTCCCTCACCACCTCTTTCACCTTCACTCAAGCATGCTGTATATTCAGTCACTCAACACTTACCATAGTTCCCTAACTACTCGGGTAAGTTTTTTCTATCCTCTCACAACCATTATGGTTTAATGGGTCTAGCACAAGTTTTGGATATTGGACACTGGGGCCTCAGATCACATGTGTTGGACACTTTCTCTATTGACTGATTCTAAGCCTACAGTCAACCAATTTGTGTATCTACCAAATGGATCTAAGGTTTCAGTTAGCCATATTGGTACAGTTAGATTAAAACCTGGCCTGTACCTTCAGAATGTGCTCCTGGTCCCTAGTTTTACCTTCAACCTCATATCTGTTAGCAAAATTACCCATGACCTTCCACTTTCTCTACATTTTGAATCTGAATCTTGTCGTATTCAGGACCTAGTGACCAGGAAGCAGATTGGTTTTGCCAGACAGAATAGAGGCCTCTACCAACTTTTCCCCAACATTCTAGCCTTACCACACCACACCACACAGCAGCCACCTACAACTTCCAACCATACAAAATTGAGCTATGGCATTGGAGGCTAGGTCACCCCAGTAAAGAAAGAGAAAACCAACTTGTTGGATGTAATAGGTCCATTGCTAGACATTGTGAAACCTGCCATTTAGTTACCACACAGGAAGCTACCTTTTCCTGTTAGCACTAGTAGAGCACAATCTGTCTTTGATTTGATCCATGTGGACATATGGGGTCCTTTAGCTGGGCCGCGAATTATAAGGAATTAACTTGGAGGGGATGATTTTCTTGGACCGGGTTCATTGTCCTATTCTCCAAGTAGAAGACGTCAGCTGGTGGGGGGAAGATAACTATTTTTTTTGGACGAGGATCCTTTTCTGAAGGGAGAGGGAACAATTGGGACAACAACAGCAGAATTGGAGGGCAACAGTGCAAACGGAAGGGAGTTTTCTCGGGAGCGGAACCGCTAGCGGAGAGGCGAGAAGCAGTAGCAGTGCGCGAAACGAAACCCTTCTCTCGTCGAGTACTGATTTGGAATTAAATTACTCGCGATCATCGGGAATTAGGGTTAGAGAAACAAGTTACTTTATTTGTAATTCTTTTTCCTATTTCTTGAATTCTAAGATGTTGAACCTAGAATTATAGGATAGTTAGTTCTCCATGATTATGAACTAAACCCCAATTTCTGGGGGAAACACCATAGGATGTAGCTATTTCTAGAATTGATGGATTGATTCATATATCTTTTCTTCCAATCTCTATTGCATGGAATTGCTTAATGCTTTGTGTTGACTGGCCACCAATACATTGATTTGTAGTTAATTAGGTTATTAGTGATAGTGAAACCCTAATAACTGAACCTATTACATGTGACATAGTAACTTATCGAAGCGACAATGGATTGAATAAGGTGCTATGTGGTCTTGATTGGGATATCGGTCTTCAGACTAAGCAGTTAATTCATTGAGCTACGACAGTAGGATTTGAATTAATTGTTTAGTACGTAGTAATTCCCGACAGGGATAGCTAGCACAATAGAGATATTCTTGCTATAGAGATATGGATTAAGTCGATTAGAGTATGTGAATTAATTTGGATAAGATAGGTAGTGAGTCCCGGTGTTTCTCTTAGAGCTTTCTCCATTGAATTTCTCCCGACAGTTTTTATTTGCTTAATTTGTTTAGTTTATTTTGATTATTGAAATTAGTCACATTAAACTATTTTCACTTATAGTTTGCTCATAGAATTGATATATTATAAGGTTGTACCAGTCCCTGAGAGACGATACCCGGACTTTCCGGTTTACTACAAGATAGGAATTGAAGCATTACGCTTTTGCCCTATCAAGTTTTTGGCGCCGTTGCCAGGGACTGCCATACCTTATTTTTGTTGATTTTTGTGAGTGAACTATTTTGATCTGTGTGCTAGTGTGCAGTTGAATTTCAGGTTAATCCTTTTTGTGCATGCCGAGGAGGACAACCAGGGATTTATTGCCACTAGACCCGGAGATCGAGAAGACCTCCCAACAGAACAGGAAGCAGGTCAAGTTAGGGAAGCAGCCAACCACAACTCCTAGGCCTTCCTAACGCATAATCGTCAACAGAGAGGGAAGGCTTCATAACCTGTCTTCCCTATACCACCGCCACCGCGCGTCATCGAGCATGTCATCATGGCAGAGGAGGATCGTCCGTTTAGGGCTCGCTTGAATCGACGGACTGGAGCCCGAGCTTCATGTGTTGTCATTCCGGCTGGGGATGCAACCATGGAGATTACCCTAGCATTTATCAACATGATCACTAATGGGTATACTTTCTCCGGGGCTAGCAATGAGGATCCTCACGAGCATCTCCGCCGGTTCGCGAGCATTTGTGATACGATGAAGAGCCCAAATGTGTCTGATGATGCAATCCACCTATGGATGTTCTCATTCTATCTATTAGGGAATGCATCACACTGGTTCCAGAACTTAACACCTCGATCCATCACGACATGGGCTCAGCTTGAGAAGGCCTTTCTGGATAAGTACTTCCCACCTGTCTTGGCAATGAAGAGGCAAGAGGAAATTGTTACGTTTAAGCAAGCAGAAGATGAGAGTCTAACTGAGGCATGGGAGCACTATAAGGGGCTATTGATGAGATGCCCAAGCCATGGTCTTGAAGATTGGAACGTGATCATTCTTTTCGTCAATGGAATCAGAAGGGAGTTTCGGGATGCCCTAAATAATGCTTCTCGAAATTGTTTCACAAGGATGGAGGCACCAACAACATATGAACTGGTAGAGAAGATCTGTTCAGAAGCCACCGAATGGGGTAGTGAGATCAACATTCGAAGAAGAGGAGCCTTTCATGAAGTTGACAGAGTTACAAGTCTCGAAGCCAAGTTGGATGCTAAACTAGATTTCAAGTTTGATGCCTTCGAACGAAGGTTGGCCAAGATTGCTCTTGGTAGAAAAGAGGAGGTTGCTTTATGTGAACTTTGCGAGGGTTCTCATCATAGGGATATGTGTCCACTGGGAGCTGCTTAGTTGGAAATGTCCAGTATATCAATAATCCGCGAAGTCAAGGCCAGGGTAGTATGTATTCAAACACATACAACACTCAATGGAGACATCACCCCAACATGTCATGGTCGAATAATAATCCAACTAGTGTTCGAAACTTCCCACCTCCTGGTTTTCAATAGCAGCAGCCTCAACCAGTGAAGAAGCCCCAGCTGGAGGAGTTGATTTTGGCTCATATGCAGAAAACAAACAATGATTTCAAGGGTCTTCATCAATTTGTCACTCAATAGCTAGCCATCAACAACAATATGCAATCATTTATGCTAGCTATGGAGAGGCAAATAGGCCAGATGGCTCAAACTTTGGCAGATATTCAGGGTTCCGGGGACTTTACCAGCAAATACTGAGAAGAATCCAAAGGACGCCATGGTTGTAGCTATCACATTGAGGAGGGGAAAGGCCTTGGAGGATCCAGAGAGTTCGAGGAATTCAATGAAATCAGAAAAAGAAGGAGCTACAGAGGTAGAGGATGAAGAAAGTGCAAAAGCTGAAAAATCTGGCTTGCACAGGCAAACTACATGCAATCTGCCTGTACATGAGCATTCTTCCTGTGCACCTCCAAAAGTGGAAAATTTCAAGAATGAAGAGGTAAAGCCTTATGAACCTCCCGCACCATTGCCTCATAGGTTAAAGAAGCCCATGGAAGACCCAAACTTCAAGAAATTTGTGAATATCTTCAAGCAACTTCATATCAACATACCGTTGGCGGAGGCACTTGAACAGATGCCTACAATATGCTAAATTCTTAAGGGAGTTGCTAACAAAGAAGCACAAATGGGCTGATTTAGAGAAGGTAACCCTTACTTCTGAATGTAGTGCTGTAATTCAAAATAAATTACCATAAAAGAGGGATGATCTGGGAAGCATCACCATTCCATGTGTCATTGGAGGTACAGAGTTCGATAAATCACTTTGTGATCTTGGAGCAGGAATTAATTTGATGCCATACTCATTCTACAAGAAATTTGGATTGGGAGATGTTCTTAAACCTACTCAGATCACTCTCCAATTGGCTAATCGATCAGTAAAAATTCCAAAAGGAGTGGTAAAAAATTTATTGGTGAAGGTGGGGAAGTTTATTCTCCCAACAGATTTTGTGATTCTAGAGATGGAAGAAGATCGAGGAGTGCCTCTCATTCTTGGTAGACCTTTTCTAGCAACTGGAGATGCACTCATTGAAGTCGGGAGAGGCAAGTTGACATTCCGAGTAGGTAAGGAGGAGGAAATTTTTATTGTCTTTCAAGGTGATCATAATCATGATGCATTTGATGAATTTGAAAGTGGAGCTCGAGAAAGAAAAAATTCCTCTTCCTGCTATCACATATCCTATCTGCTCAGATTCCAAAATCAAAGCAAGGACAAAAATCCTTACCAGGTCATCTCAAGTATAGATATTTAGGTAAGGATTTCAATCTTCCTGTTATTATTCCTTCTTCATTGACATTGAAACATGAAGAGTACTTGCTTGAGGCACTGCAATACCACATATGCCTCACTAAAGGATCCAACATTCCAACTAAGAAGGTCATACCAAATTTTTGCACACATGGCCCTGCAGAGGTGACTCATATGTTGGATGGAGGTTATGCATTCTATCATTGCTCGGGAGAGTATTCTGGATACCTTTCCATACCCATTGGTTGAAAGCTCCATGAACGTCAGGCCGAGGATGTTAAACAAGCGCTTCTTGGGAGGCAACCCAAGGTGAGTTTTCTTTTCTTTATTTTTCTTTTTAGTTGTGTCAACCCGTGCATGTTTAGATTAGGAATTGAACATTAGGGACAATGTTCCATCCTAAGTATGGGGTGGTGAGTCTTAGTGTTGTTTGTCCCTGTTGCATGTGGTAAAAAAAATCAAAAAAAAAAAACTGTTGGTTGTGCACAACCAAACTGCAAGCAATCTACCTGTGCTGGTGCAGTCTGCCTGTGCTAGCATAATGGCTAAAAAACACCTAAAAATCAGAAAATTTTAAAACAAAACATTGTACTCTTATGGTAGCATGATGTTAATGAGCGTGATGTGTGTGAAATGAGTTTGTGCACTCACTGATCGAGCGCTCTTGTGCCGAAGATGAACGGGGCTAAGCGATCTGTCGAAGCTGTGGGATGTAAAAATGCATCGGTAGGGGAGCGTTTCACAATGAGGTTGATAGTGTGACTGACTGGATATGCTTTGAATTAGCAAACTCTTTTAGCAACACTCTATTTTGTGAGGATAGTGTAATGACTTTTGGTGAAGTAGTTAGGTGGAGAACATTGACCATTCGACATGTTTGGATACTGTGCTTACTTGCATTAGTTGTGAGCTTTTGATTTTGCAATGAGTCTCTCTGTTTTGAATTTTTTAGATGGGGTGAACTGTATCTTTATAAAAGAAAAAAATCCTACCTGACAAGTAAAAGATAAGAAAGTTGCCATAACAATTAAAGTGTGGGTAAAATACCAAAATTGTGTGAGGAAATCATTCATTGCACAGGGGGATTAGGAAAGGTTCAACTGAGAATCGATTCGTGACCGTACGACGTTGCTTATCAAGTACGATCCCTCGTTGAGTGAAGTGCCATTTGAGGATGTGCAGTGACCCTCCACACAGGCCGAGGAAAAGGAGTTTAAAGAAGCCCTTATGCAAATGCTAAGAAGCAGAAATTTCTCTTGCTCGGTCACCGGTAGTAAGAAACAGAACCTCCTTGTACTAAATATGATTACTCGGCAAGCAAAATCAGAAAGAGAGAAAGTCTCGCCTTGTCAGAAAAGGTAGTGATGTGCTTAAAGTTAAAATCAAGTTTGCGAAAAGTTCCCCCATTTGTTTTTGAGACTCTTATGCTTAGTTGATTGCTTATGATTGATGTGAGTAAGCCAGATTGTCCTCACGAGATATGCACCTCAATGATGTGGTTAGATTCTCCTAATAACTGTTGCACCATAAGTTGTTAATCACCCACTACCGACGATTGAAATTGAGTGTTGCTAATTGAGTTTTTGATGGATTTAAGTCAGTCAATGGTAAATGGTTGCAAATAACTTGAGTGTGGGGTGAAAGGGATGATCATTAAAGCACAAATCATTCGTTGAGAAAGAAACTACTTATTATCACAGGAGTACAAGGAAAAATTTATGGTGTCGATGTTGTGTTTTCTGTCTCGTGATTCATGGTGTTAATGATTGTGTTCTGTGGGGTCGGGTGTTATGAGCAAGGTTGTCCCTGTGTGGTCTATGTTGTGTTTCCTCCAATTATCGTTCTCTTGTCTGAATTGTTGCTTAGGGATAAGTAAGTATTGAGTGTGGGGTTGTGATAATTGTCGAAAACATATAGATTTGATGTGCTTAATGTGAATACTACATGATATGTTTGAGACATATAATGCCTATTTTAAGGTCGACTGATTCTGGAATGGTTGCAAAACCATTACCACATTGTGCTATAATTTTGATATATTTTAGGTGGAGAAACAAGAAACAATTGAAGTACAGGTAGACAAACAAGTCGAACACAGATCAAGTCGATAACTGAACCAGTTCGGACCGGATTCTTGACATACTAGTTGGATGAAGGGACAACGACATTTGAGACTAATCAAAGGGAGTACATAAATTTCTATGTGTGCATTTTAATGGATCAAGTCCATTGTCCTTTAATGGGATAAGAAAAGGCAGAATGTATAAAAGAAGAAGAATTGGAGCTGGGCCGCGAATTAAAAGGAATTAACTTGGAGGGGATGATTTTTTTGGACCGGGTTCATTGTCCTATTCGCCAAGTAGAAGAAGGCAGCTGGTGGGGGAATGCGTTAGGGTGATTACTCAACATTGAGTAATCGCGGTGGCTACTAAAATCTACACCTTTAATTATCTCTATTTCACCCTAATTTTAAATTGATGGTATAGATTATATTAAGGGTAATTTTGAAAATAAAAAAATACGACACCTGATTTCTATCCTTTAAAGATTTAATTTCTATATATTACATCTAAACCCTACTTCAAGTCCATTCTCCATCGCCGTCAACGCCTCCCATGTCGGTTGTTCCCTTTCTCCGTTCGTAGTCACTCTCGACCACCGTCCAACTGTCGGCGGCCAGCCCTCCGGCTACCCCGCTGGTCTCTCTCTCTCTCTCTCTCTCTCTCTCTCTCTCTCTAGCACGCCTGGGAGACGACCGTGGTGGAGCTCTCTAGGTGACGGTCAAGGTGGAGGGGTGAGATGGTGACGGCAATTTCCTTCCCTCCCTATCTCTATCCACCGTGTGTGTGTGTGTATGTATGTATATATATGTATGTATGTATGTATGTATGTATGGGTCACGCTGGTGTGCTCCACACGCATAGTATGCTCTAGGTTCTGTAAACCGTTAATCTAATCTAACGGTTAATATAAATAATAATTAAATGATTTATTAATTATGATGTAAAGATAATTAGTTGGTTACATTATTTTTTCATACATGCTCTTTAGTACCTATACATATTTATTCATATCCTTTCATTCTTTGTACCTAATTTTCTTATAATCACTTCTTTATCAACCAATTTTTACATTATTTCTAATTTCTTTCTTCTCATAGCTTTAATTTGGATATGCAAATCCAAATCCTCTTTCCGTCGACGACCAAGCTCATCCTCCCCTGACCATCATCACATCTCCGCCTCCTTCATTCAAATCCAAACCCCTCTTTCACCCTACTAAGTCGACGAACCATCTCCTGCCCCCTTGACCATGATCATATGTCCTCCCTAGTCGACGCAAATCTCCGGATCTTCCATCTCCAATTAAACATATTGAACTCCACCACTACCCCCAATCGAATTCCACCCTAGCTCGTAAATCGAGTTCCACCCTTTCGCCGGAGCTTAGGTGCCGCTGCCACCGCGAATTCACCAGCAGCGCAGTCGCAATTAAAATATAAACATTGCGCTATTAGAATACCCTCTTCGCCGGAGCTCGGCCGTCGCCAGCGCAGCGAATTCACCGGTAGCCTCTAGAGGTGGGTAGGAGGGCTGATCGGAGAAGAAACTTCAATGTGGAGACGTGTTCATACAAAATCAATGGCGATGGCGGTACCCAATCATTTTTATAGATCTGTGACATGCATCTTGGCTTCATGTGCCAGCTCGAGGTAAGAGAATGGGAGTGGGAATTTGTTCGAATTTTCCAGGTCTTAATGATCGACATTCAGGATTAAGAGTTTTGCTCTCCACATGTTTGCTAAATTGAAAATGGAACTCTGTTCCTTCTTCCGTTGTGGGTTTTGAGCAGCGTCCCATTGTGTCTTAATGTAGTGAAATAATTATTTGTTGTAGGTTTTCAGTAATTACTTATGCGACAGGTGAGCTTGGATCTTTACTTGCTTGAATCATTACTTGAAGAACTTGACTGGTCCATTTTCAGTGACTCTGGGGAGGCTTGAAAAAGAAGAAGGGTTTCATCTGCTTGTTTTGGTGATCATGTGCATTCTTCCTATTGTGTGTGACCAGAATGACATTTGATGTTTAGGCTAGATTGGCAGAACGATTTACCACTATGAAAATGGCTCTCCACCTCAGCATAGATTCATTCTCGTCCACCGTTTTTTTAAAGGAAGGGATTATTCATTATAGTTAATGTCGCGAATCGTACGGAGGAAATTTAGTTTTTTTACTTTTATAATAGAGGAATAGATAAGGAAAATATGAGAATTAGTTGTTATCGTAGGGTTTTGGTGCAGTCTATTTAAAGAGATGTTACCGACCCAATTTTTCTATTTCGAGTTTTATCGTCTTGTTTGGCGGCTGTGAGTCTGCGAACTGGTGTCAATGGGGAAATTGGTGTAAATTATTCTACTCTCGCCTTTTCCTTTGCAAAGTGTAATCGAGCATTGAGTATGGGAAATTATTGAGGGATGTGTCTTTATTTTGTGCAATATAATTTATCCATCCACTATATGCCTTTAGTCTTCTCGTATAGGCACAACAGATGCGTGGTTTAAAGAAAGTGACTGGTTTATTATTTCCACCAAGTATTTGATGTGTTCCCCTAATTGTCGAGCTATTAGTTACTTAGTTTCAAACAAACTATTATTTTATTATTATTTTATTTATTGTGGTTGCAATTTGGGAATGGCTACTTGATTCAGCATGACAGATGATGTTACCGAGAAATCCATGATTTCCCTGCGAAGTACCTATGGCTCAATGAAGGGGACTATTGATGACTTGTACGATAAGGTTTGTTCTTTGATGTCACTCGTCTCCAAAACTGAATTTCAATTTGGAGTTCCTGAGAAGATGTTTAGGGATGTTGGTTTCCAAATAGGCCCTAGTTCTCCTCCTGCCCACGTTTCCGTCACCCCTAGTGCACAAAACATTTTTATTCTAGATTCTGATTCAGATGATGATCGTCCACAAAAGCGTCAAAAATCTACTGCCATGGGCGAAATCAAATTCTCAGGCAAGGTATTCAATTTCAAACGTGTTTTTGGAAATAATGTTATGCATTATTTTAATATTTTGTCAATGTGAAATTGTAGGTGACTTTTCCGGTCACACAAATCATGAAGCTAGGTGATAATGACCGTGCCATTGCATGCTTCATCTTTGGCGATGGATTAGATAATGGCAATATGCTTGTTGAGTATTCTAGCCATCATTTAAGTGGTAAAAAACTGAAGAACTTGTTGCCGGGCATATGGCTTGACGGTTATGTTAGTATTTATTAAAAAAAAAATTGTTTTCGAATTTCTTATTGTAGTGTATCTATATTTATTGTGGTTTGTTTAAAGATTTTGACCGCAGTAGCCTGTAAAGTAGCTCTTTCTGCAAGGGTTTGGGCGAAGGGTGAAGGGAGACCTTGGAACCTGCCGTCTAATTTTGAGGTAAACCGCAATTCTTGTACATTTTATAAGTTAGTTTTTCTGGACCATGACAAATATTGGATATGTGGTACAACTGTGAACAAATTACTAGGAGTTGGTCGTGCAAATGGGTTGGTCTCCACAAAAAGCTGTGAAAAATTATAAAAACATATACTTGGCGGGCACCTATGAATGCAATAAGGTATTCGTTTTAATTAATAGTCCTTTTTACTAGTAATTTAGCTTATAGTTGTCCTTTTCCTGCTGACCTGATATATGAAATATCTCTAAACTTACATGTTGGTGCCTTCCCCATTTTTTCAGATTTATTTACCAATGAATGATGAGAAACAACACTGGTTTCTTGTTGTGGTTTTTATTGAACGAAAAGAAGTGCATGTTGTAGACTCAATGCATAATAATACTGGGCTGAAGGAAATTCGTAAGAAAAGGATTAAAGGAATGGTGGGTGATCAAACGTTAGCCTCTGTATTGCTAACTTTTTTTTCTTTGTAATTTCTAACTTAATATTCTCATATATTGAGTCTATGGTATAGTTGGGCTTTCTTTACAAGATGATTGACGCATTTCCGGGTAATCCACCAGTGTATGAGCTGCCCAAGGTGCATGAGTTCTTAATCCTAATCCCGCCAGATGTTCCCAGACAATTGAATAGGTTAGCAATTGGTTCTGTTTTTTGTAAATTTGTGGATTTTTAGGCATATTGGGTTTGTGAATAAAATTTTGTTCTTATCCCGTAGCTATGATTGCGGTTTCTGGGTGTGTCAATGGATGCTGCATGGTGAGGCTGATGATAATTCTTATAGGGGGTATGAACTTGTTTTCTCCAACCCCTAGTATAATCATCATTTTGTTTTCGCTTTTACATTGATAACGTCGAAGTTTTGTACTTAATTTGCTTTATTGAATACAGAGCTGTGATGATAAAAGTCGCTTGTGACAGGCCGTAAACTTGATTACAGATCCATCCAATACCATACGCTGCAAAATTATTTCGGAAGCTATGGACGTCTATAAGCACCATTTTGACGGAAAAATAACCACAAAATGCCAAAGAAATTTGTTCGACTAATTGTGGGCGAATTTTATTCCTCTGAATTCTTGCTTCTCTCGTTCGTTTGGATTTTTGGATAATATTTCACTTCCAGCACTAAGACAAGATTTTTTATGGATTGTTTGTTTTTTTCTCAGTTTGGGTTTTGGATAATATTTTACTTCCAACACGAGACATAATTTTTTATGGATTGTTTGCTTTGTTGCTTTTATTTGATGGACTTGTTTATTTATGTAGCTAGTATGATTCCTTGTGATTTCTCTCAGTAATTGGTCTTGTTTAAAAGGAACGACACTACTATCGATTTAGGTAGCCAATCTCCTATTTCCCTAGCAACATGAGCTGTCCATTTAGGTAGCCATCAAAAACAGATCCGCCAGTTGCCTTGATGTGTTTCTGTTCTCTAGTGCAGCCTGGCTTGTGATCCCGATACATCTCAACTAAAATCAAAAAAGCAATATGAAATCCTAGGGATTTTGACTTTCTAGCTAGAGGAAGGTGGAGAAGAAACAAAGACTAAAGAGTGTGAGAACAGGCCAAGAGTCTCAGTTTCTCCCTTCCATCAACAGACAACGAGGTGGGCTTGAATGAATAGGCCCATAACGAAATAAAAGAGAAAAGGAAAGAAGAAGACTAAGGTCAGTTGGCCCAACTGTTTAAGGCCCAAACCAAAGGAACTCTCCTTAACATTTAGGATCGGCCGAGCTAGGAAACCCTTTGGGCAGGTAGAGTTCGGCTAAGAGTTTCCAAAGAAAGACTTTTCTATTAGGGGACGGTTGAGGCGAACAAGAGAAGCTAGACCAGGAGTGCACTCTTGCCTCAGTCGAGTCGCAAGGAGTCAAAGTAGTGCGGGAACTTTCTCTTGATTTGAACCCTAGCGAAAGAGAGAGCTCACTTCGGAAAGCAACTCTAACAGAAAGACCGTGAGAGGAGGTTTAACCATAAGAGCCAAAGGGATAAGAGAGGTCGAAGAAAAGGGGTGGGAAAGTGAAAACACCTATTCTAAGGACAGGAAGCACAAAACCAAAAAATAAGAACAAAGCTGTAAAGGAAATGCGCACATGATTTTTAGCGAGGTTCCCCAATCTACGGGTCAGTCCTCGTCTCGGAGATAGCACCTGCTAACCTCCGAGAGACTTTTTTGATGCAGGGGAACTAGCGGCCAGGATTGAGGAGGTTGTTCAGGTTGGGAGGGAGCTGGCAGCCGAGAGGAAAGCAACCGCCAACTAGCTTGTTTGCGTGGAGGAGAAGGCATCATGTTTATTGTTTATTGTTTATGTTGTTTTTTTGTTTAGGTTTTCCTAGTCATTGTCAGTTTTAGTTTAATAAGCATTGTAGAATTGGGTTATTGGGACCTTGGCTATTTAAGGCCTTGTCTGCGTTTGTAGAAGATCATTCTTTTGGCTTCAATAAAATAAACCTATTGGTTTGCACATCTGGTGGATTTCCAGAGTAGTCTTCTAACGAAGCTTGCAGCTGGCAAGCTTGTGTTCTTTTGGATTCGGCGCTAACGAGTCTTTGAAGTTTCCGACTGCGTCAGGTGGTATCAGAGCCTGGTTTCTACTGTCTCTTTTCTAAGCTTGCACAGCCATGGGAGATCAACCGGTCACCCACGCAGATATCGAGGCTATCACCGCGGCTTTTACCACGGCGATCACGACCTTGACCACACACAAGTGACGAATTTGGCCGCACAGGTGAACAACGATCATGACAGGAGGGAGAGAGGCAGGAGAGTAGAAATGGAAGAGCGTCCCTGGAGGGCACGTGGTGTTCAAATTGACTCCGATTCTGGTTCGGATGAAGAGGTCTAGGATGAATACCAGAACCATGCTGATGACAACTGGCGGAATCGTAACGACTATCGGGTCAAGGCTGATATCCCATTGTTCTTCGGAACTATGGGCATAGAAGACTTCCTCGACTGGCAAATTGACGTTGATAGATTCTTTGACGTTATGGAGGTACCGGAAAATAAACAGGTTAAGATGGTAGCCATCCGTTTGAAGAGTACCGCCGCTGTATGGTGGGACAAGCTTGTTGTCCAGCATCAACGCCAGCGGAAGGCCCCAATTCGAACATGGCAGAGGATGAAGCAGCTGATGATGGAGCGGTTTTCACTAGAGGATTATGAACAGATTTTATAGAAAATGTACATTGATTGCGTTCAAGGGCGAAGGAGTGTTACTAAATACACGACCGAGTTCTTGCGCTATGCAGAACACAACCAGTTGGAAGAGAAGGAAGCACAAAAGGTTGCTCGATACATCAATTGCTTAAGGGGATCGATCCAGGAGAAAATTGGGATGCAAACAGTCTGGACAGTGACCGAGGCTTCTACCTTGCACTGAAGGCGGAGTTAATGGAAAAATCTCCTAGAAATTTCCCCCCTTTTTGCAAGTTTCCCCCACAAAACAACCCTGATGTGAGAACCGACAAGGAGATAAGCTCGAGTTCCAGGGGGCACACCCAACTCCAAAAGGTGCTGCCGGAGAGGGTAATTCCAACCCGACCAAAGGCCCTGCCATGAGACCTACAAACCCATATGCAAAACCTGGGGGAGATAAGTGCTACTGCTGTGGTGGCCAAGGCCATAGGTCGAATGTTTGTCCCTCTCGCAGGATGACGGCGGTTGTAGAGGAGATGGCTGCTTGCATTAAGGAGAACGAGGATGAAGAAGACCGTGATGAGTACGCCGGGGTGGAGTTTTCTGAAGAGGAATCTCAGGAAACAGTGAACATCGTTCTACGCCGAATCTTGTTGACATCAACGGACGAGCGGCAACGTAAGAACCTTTTCCGGACTCATTGTTCTGTTAGTAATAAATTGTGAAATCTTATTGTCGATAATGAGAGTACCGAAAACTTAGTTTCTCAACGACTGGTGGTGTATTTAGAGCTGCCAACAGAGCCCCATCCGACCCTGTACGCTTTGGGCTGGGTAAGTAAGGGCCAACAGGTTAAAGTAACACGCACCTGTCGAGTACCTATCTCCATTGGTAGATATTATAAGGAGGAAGTTGTGTGTGATGTGCTCAATATGGACATTTGTCACGTCCTCTTGGGAAGGCCATGGCAATACGGCAATGACATCACATATAAGGGACGAGATAATGTGATGATGTTCACGTGGGGAGTACACAAGATAGCTATGGCACCTGTGTCAGGATTCCACAAACAGCCTGGGAAGCCAAAGTCAAGTTTTCTTGTGATGACGGAGGATGAACAGGAGCTATGCGCCGCTATTAAGGAATCAGAATGGATTTATCCAATTGTGGTGAAGGGGATGCTCAGTGCCGCACATCTGAGACCGCCATTCCTCACGAGGTAAAGACCATTCTGAAAGATTTTAAGAAGCTGATATCGGATGAGCTCCCCAATACTTTGCCGCCTATGCGGGATATACAGCATCACATCAATTTAATCCCGGGGTCCAGCCTACCAAATCTTCCTCATTATCGTATGAGCCCCAAAGAGAATGAGATATTACGCGAACAAATTGAGGACCTGTTGCGGAAGGGATTCATTCGGGAAAGTATGAGTCCTTGTGCCGTACCTGTGTTGCTCGTTCCCAAGAAAGGAAACCAATGGCGCATGTGCGTGGATAGCAGGGCCATCAACAAGATCACTATCAAGTACAGGTTTCCCATTCCCCGTCTGGAAGACATGCTTGATGAGTTATCCGGGTCAAAAGTCTTCACAAAGATTGACCTACGAAGTGGCTACCACCAGATTTGGATTCAGCCTGGCGATGAATGGAAGACCGCATTCAAAAGCAAAGATGGTCTTTACGAATGGCTCGTCATGCCCTTCGGGTTGTCCAACGCCCCTAGCACGTTCATGCGTCTTATGAACCAGGTTCTTCACCCCTTCATCGGTTCTTTTGTCGTCGTTTACTTTGATGACATATTAATTTACAGCAAAACAAAGGAAGACCACTTGGAGCATGTTCGACAAGTACTCCAGGCTTTACAAGAGAATGAGCTATATGTTAATTTGAAGAAATGCACGTTTTGCACAAACAAACTTTTGTTCTTGGGTTTTATTGTTGGAGAAGAAGGGATCCAGGTGGACGAAGAAAAGGTAAGCGCCATCCGAGATTGGCCTTCACCCTCGTCTTTTTCGGAAGTTAGAAGTTTCCATGGGCTGGCCACTTTCTACCGAAAGTTTGTACGAGACTTGAGCACTATTACGGCTCCCATCACAGAATGTTTGAAGAAAGGAACATTCCATTGGGGTCTTGCGCAGGAGCGGAGCTTTGCGTTGATCAAGGAGAAGCTTTGCACCACCCCAGTCCTCGCCTTGCCGGATTTTGATAAAATTTTTGAGGTCGAGTGTGATGCTAGTGGCGTTGGCGTGGGGGCAGTACTCTCACAGGAAAAGCGGCTTGCTTACTTCAGCGAGAAACTAAGTGATACTAGGCAGAAATGGAGCACCTATGATCAGGAATTTTATGTTGTATTTCAAGCTCTACGACAGTGGGCGCATTACCTGATCCAACGCGAGTTTATTCTCTTCACCGATCACCTTGCACTGAAGTTTCTCCATAGCCAGAAGATAATTAATAAAATGCATGCTCGTTGGGTGAGTTATCTACAGAAGTTCCCATTCATCATTCAACATCGATCAGGTGTTCAAAATAAGGTGGCGGACGCGTTGAGTAGACGAGCTTCTTTATTGGTCACTTTGGTACAGGAAGTCGTGGGTTTTGAATTTCTCAAAGAATTATATGCTTCTGATCCTGAATTCAAGGAGGTATGGTTTACGTGTACTCACCAACATCCAGAAGACGACTTCCATATTAGTGACGGGTTTCTGTTTAAAGGGAATCGGCTTTGCATGGCGGTGGGCTTGGTGGTCATCTGGGTTGAGACAAGACCATTTCCAGCTTAGAGGAGCGATATTTTTGGCCACATCTCCGTCGCGATGTTGGCTCGATTGTTCGGCGTTGTTATGTGTGTCAAGTCTCAAAGGGTCAGTCTCAAAATACTGGTCTTTACATGCCCCTGCCAGTTCCTGATGATATTTAGCTGGACTTGTCAATGGACTTTGTCCTAGGGTTACCTCCCACCCAGCGTGGCGTTGATTCCGTCTTTGTCGTTGTCGACCGGTTTTCGAAAATGACTCACTTTATCGCCTGTAAGAAGACGGCTGATGCCTCCATCATCGCCAAACTATTTTTCAAAGAAGTTGTTCGTCTCCATGGGGTTCCCAAATCTATTACATCGGACCGCGATACTAAGTTTCTTAGCCATTTTTGGCTCACACTATGGCAGATATTTGGCACTACGCTAAATCGTAGCTCTACAGCTCACCCGCAGACGGATGGGCAAACGGAGGTGACCAATAGAACGTTGGGCAATATGATCCGAAGTATTTGTGGAGACAAGCCCAAACAATGGGACTTGGCCTTACTGCAAATCAAATTTGCATACAATAGCGCGGCGCATTCGGCGACGGGAAAATCTCCATTCTCTCTTGTCTACACTACCCCACCGCGTCATGTCGTTGACTTAATAGCACTTCCCAAGCTTCCCGGAGTGAGTTCAGCTGCTGAACATATGGCACGTGATGCTATGGCCGTGAAAGATGCCGTTAAAGCAAAGCTAGTGGCCACCGGAGAAAAGAACAAGGCTGTCGTTGATGCTCATCGTTGTGCCAAGGTGTTTGCGGTGGGGGATAAGGTAATGGTATTCCTACGGAAAGAGAGGTTTCCTCGCAAGTATGGACCTTTTACCGTCCTTAAGAAGATTAACGACAATGCCTACGTCATTGATTTGCCGCCTACTATGAATATCTCTAGCACGTTCAATGTCGCTGACATCTATGAGTTTCATGAGGATACTGTGCTTTATCCTGAGATGAACTCGCGGTCGAGTTCTTTACAGGTGGAGGAGACTGATGCAGGGTAACTAGCATTCAGGATTGAGGAGGCTGTTCAGGTTGGGAGGGAGTTGGCAGCCGAGAGGAAAGCAACCGCCAACTAGCTGGTTTGCATGGAGGAGAAGGCAGCAAGTTTATTGTTTATTGTTTACGTTGTTTGTTTTGTTTAGGTTTTCCTAGTCATTGTCGGTTTTAGTTTAATAAGCATTGTAGAATAGGGTTATTGGGACCTTGGCTATTTAAGGCCTTGTCTGCGTTTGTAGAAGATCATTCTTTTGGCTTCAATAAAATAAACCTATTGGTTTGCACATCTGGTGGATTTCTAGAGTAGTCTTCTAACAAAGCTTGCAGCTGGCAAGCTTGTGTTCTTTCGGATTCGGCGCTAGCGAATCTTTGAGGTTTCCGACTGCGTCATTTTTTTATTTCTTTTTCCTATAGAAATGAAATCAAATAGAAACAAGAACAAAAGTTGATCCCCAGATCGAATCCCAGACCTGTTTACAACCTCCAGCAGTCAGGACCTTTTCCTCTGATGCTAAGCCCCTTAGAAATCCCAATAGCCCTATACCACTACTGTTCCAAATTCAGCTTTGCTTCTGTCAACATCAATTACTTTGGCATGCCGAGAAAACACTCCCTGACCGTCTCCAGCATTTGCCACCACTAACAACCTGCCCTATTACCTTAAATAGAGGATATAGTAATAAAAAGACCTCCAAAAATAAAGTCTACTTAAATAGCATTTACTATTGACGGATAGCAAAGGCAAAGTCATTCAACTTGCTGACTTCAACACAACATTCTACAAAGAAGTCTCAACGTATAGCCACCCTCCATTATTACAGAGGTGCTTCATTCTTACGTATACTTAAGTGATAAATCACAAACCATCCACACACTTGAGTCATTAACTGCATATACGTAAGTGATAAATCATAAAACATCTGCTAACCAATGCAGTGGTGCCAGAAGCAAGACCAACATCAAACAAGCATGCCTCTGCAAAAGCACTACCAGTTTGCTGAAAATTAGATGCAATGACCTTCTAAGATCTCTTGGGAAGTCTTCATCCTCTAGGAAAGACGATGAGATTGGAAAACCCCGTAGAAGGCGTTAGGCCTATCAATATCATGTTTGAAACCAAGCACTAAAGGTAACGATGATATTAGGGAGCTATTATGTGATCATTATGAGGGAGTTTAAAAAACAAAGTACTAAAGGTAAATTATTAATCACCCACGAAAGCATATAAAGAGAAATAAACCCCAACACTTGCCTTGTGCAGAATCACGTCTGCTAGCCGCCTCCGCCCTAAAACCAGCCTCTCCTTTTTCTCCCTTGTCGAGACCCCAACACAGGAAATATTGGCAACACTAAAGCCATGGAATAAGATCAAAATTGTGTTAATGAGTCAGAAGCACATGATACTGTTATATTAGAGGAAACCGAAACGGTAACCAATGCTGCCTCTAATGGAGAACATACAATGACGAGAGATGCGATTGAAAATTGTCCTACTATTAGTCAACTGTTCAATGATCATGAAGAAGCATATACATTCTACAATGCATATGCAAAGGCTTGGGGGTTTTCTATTAGGCGCTCAAAAACAGCTAAAAATACCAAGGGAGAAGTTACTAGTGCAGCTTTCGTGTGTTCCTGTGAGGGACTGACTGTGTACCCAAGTTTGTGATGCCCTCTAGCAGTATGAATAGCAAGCTTCATCACCTGGGAAGGTTTCATACCAACATCCTTTTTAAATCGAAAGTCCGATTATCTACCTTTGTTAAACCTCGATGCGATCTTAGGTGATGTGTCCAAGTCTGTTTAGCTGGTTCATGACTGTGTTGTACTTCAAACTTATCGACTGCCCACTTTCTATCATTCTTGTTCAATGACACGCACATCCTTGCTTTGCAACCAAATCTGGTCAGCATGGGAGATTCTCGCCTTTTGCCCCTTTGTGCGGGGCTCTCATTCACAACGAAGATGAAGAAGACAACAAAGTTAAAAGAAAAGTAGATGGAAGAGGAGTCTTGACATGGCTGAAGCGTTATGCCAGCTGCAGCCAGAGTTAATCACCCCTCCATCCACAAGAGGATCAGTAGGAGCGAGAAAACGAAAGAGAAACAACGGAAAAGCAGCTGTGGTAGCCCGGCCGCCCGCCAACTTCCTCAAAGAAAAGATGGACAACAAAGTTAAAATCAAAGCACCCTTGCAAAACAATGCATGAGGTATGTCCTTGAATAGCTAAGAACTCATTTCCAACTCTCTAGGTTTATCAAACCAAAAAATGAACCGTCAAAGGCTGCACTGTTTGTAAATCAATCAAGATAAAATATTTTGTCCCGTCAATTTCAATGAACAAATAAAAAAAAACTAAGTACTTTTCAACTCCTTGCTGTGGTTCAACATCTTGCTTTGGATGTGTGGTTCAACTTCTTGCCTTGTCCCCTCTTCTAAAACATAAAAAACAAGATAAAAGAACATTAAAGCTGTAACTTTTAGCAAAGGCTCTCATTTAATATATACAGTAGGATGCATTAGATTAAGAATAACTAAAAAAAACCTGTTGGGTCCTCTCAGATTGGCGTTCATAACACTGAGTAGAAGGCTCAACACTAGGTTTTGTTTGCTTATTTGATTTTCCTTATTGTTGCTGATGTGTCAGAGTACTACTCCTAGTACGTGGCCCAGTCTGTTACAAGAGGATAAATTAACTGTTAAGCTATTACTTACTTCTAAGAATGTCAAAAATTTGTGAACAAGTAATTGTGAGATAACCTTCTGTAGTGGCTTAACGTTTTCGTTAGGCTGCACATCATTACTGCTCATGCTGCTTCGTTGCTTCTGATATAACCAAAATAACATAATTAATTATCAAGACCGCTTAATTATAACAAGAGCACCAAATATAGATGTTAATTACCTTTCGGGGTTGACCTCCTTGGTCATCATCATCGTCCTCATCGTCTCCCTCTTCTCCGTCATCTTCTCTGTCATCGTCCTCATCATCATCATCCAAGTCATTGTCATCATCCTCCTCATCTGAATGAGATTTTGTCACGTCGGCTGAGGGGTTAGTACAAGTGCTCCTATAATGCCCATCCCTTAGCCCACATCTTCCACACTTTCTTCTTTTTTTCTTTTGCTGTTTTTTTCCTTCTCCTTTCCTACAACCCTTAAACCTCACTTTATTTCGGTTCAATACATCTTTGAACTTGTCGAGTATGACAATTCTTTCTCTCTCGTTGGGGGTTTTCTTCAGCATCTCCAACTTGTCGCTTTCTGCTGCCAACACTGCTTGAGCTTGACGAAAAGAGAGAGGAGAGTCTGACCCCCAATAAGCAAAATCGCATACTCAAAAACAGTAGAGTCTCGTACCGAATGGTGAAAGTGCTGTCATCCCCCACTGCACCTGGTTCTAGAAGAGTGTCTAATGACTTGGGGTTCTTTGAGCAACATCTGAGTACCAGCTTTTCAGGAAAAGTCTTAACCTTTTCTTCTTTTAGAACGAAGATCATATGCGTGCAGGGTATTCCAGTACTCTTAAACTTTTCATAACTGCACTCTATATCGTGCGTTTCAGTGTTGTATTTCACTTCCACGACCTTCCCTTTGTTGAACATGGATAAAGTGTAGATGTGTAAGTTCCCTTCTTCAGTTTGCTTGTCCTTTATGCATCTAATAACCTCAGCAAGCTCTTTTTCGAATTTAAGAAATGAAGCTCTTGAGTATAACTTAGCTGCACTTTCCTCAAGGGGCAATAAGATCGAATTCTGGACTGGTGTTGCACCGTAATTGGATTCAAAATCCAATCTAACCTCTGTTTCCCTCATATCCTTGACCCAACAATCATAATGAATGAAAAATTCAAGTAAACTTATCCTCTCACTGCCATACCTAGCGACAACTGCATTCATGCTTTCACATCTTGATGTGGTTGTCAATCCAGCAAAGAAGTAAGAGCGCAAATATGTGTTTGCCCATTTAGTGCGTCTACCAAACAGTTTTGTGGACACCCATTAGTTGTTTTGTAGGACGCATTCTTCTATCAATGCCTTCCATTTTTCCTCAAATTCAACTGGCTCATAATCAGCAGTTACAAACTTGCTCCATCGGGGTTCAAAGTTTTGACTTTTTTTCACCCTACTAGTAATATTCTTGGACAGATGCCATGCACATAACATGTGTGTTGCATATGGAAACACAGTAGCAATGGATTTCCTCATTGCTTTATCCACATCCGTGACAATCGTATGTAGCTTCTTTTCACCCAAAATTTCATTCAATATATTCAATATCCATGTGTAGGTTGCTTCAGTCTCGTTAGGCAATACTGCACTCTCGAGTAAGCAGGACTTGAAGTGATGATTGATACCTATATTCATTGTAGAAAAAAATATTCAAAACTAAGATAAGATAGTGGTAATACCTGTATCCAAAAGGGTGATCAATTAACCTCCATTACTCTTTTGTTTACCATTTAGACAAGTACAGTAAATACAAAATACGTATATAGGGTGCTTACCTGTGAAAATAACAAGGAGCATATTGTAAATGTTTTTCCTGTACGTCGTGTCAAATGCGACCAGCTCACCAAAACATGAAATGTCAGCTAGGCTAATGATGTCTGTCCAAAATAAACTCTCTAGCCTTTTCTCATTGTCAATAGTGTATCGGAGGATGAAGTGTGGGTCTGTGCTTTTCTTTTATTCCAGATAGGCAAGTGTTGTAGCTGCAACACCCTCGCTGATCATTTCATTACGATCTATGTTGCTGAAATTATACCCATCTTTTGTTCGTCATGCAGATCGAGAACAGGGAACCAAAAGAATAATACAGACAAGGCCACACCTTCGGCCACCGGCAAAGTGAACCAGCTTCGGAGACCCCAAATCAATTTTCCAGAAACATCAAACGGTAAATCATCCCCATTTCCTCCTCCTCCTCCGATTTGCAAGCCCCAAATCAACATGAAAACAAAACAAGATCAAAGAAACGAGGTCAGAAACCCAAAGTTTGGACT